TTGGAGAGGTAAGCAGACCATCACGTCTGCTACTGAAACATGACGCTTGGGGAGGACAAGTTGTTGCATTCAAAACCATGAAACAATGCAACAAAAAACAAACCCATGTTGTGCTTGTTTCCCTGCCCCTACGCACACAAGCAGTAATGTCTGTCCACAGATATTCCTGTAAAAGAAGATTGGGTAATATCTGAGGAAAACAAAACTTCCAGGTCGTTAAAGAACCTGGCTTCTGTTAACACTGACATCAGTAAGGTCAATGTTGACTTCATGGAAATACTTAGCACTGTTGCACATGTTTAGTCCAGGTCACCATTACTGTTATTCTTAGAAATGGGATGCAGTTCTCGTCAGGAGAAGTATTTTTACATGGAAAAGATGCGCAATGTCCCTTATTTAAATGTCAGAGCATTTGCATCTATCTTATTTGGTAACACAAAGACAATTTTAGACAGGCCTACAGACAATTTATTCTGTTCCCTCCAATGCTGTGTATCACTTTCCACAGGAGACAAATACAGGGAATTAAATATAATTTTTTGCACCTTCATGCTTGAACCAGAGATTGTCAACACTGGTCTCGTTTTTCTTGATGGTTGTGTTTTTAGTAAAAAACAAAAAATAAAGGACAAAGGAACTAGGATGCTAGATTTCAAAAAGATGGATTTCATCCAGCTCAAGGAGCTAATAGGCATGGTGGCATGGGAGGATAAACAAGAATAAAGACACCCAGGAGAGCTAGGAGCTTCTAAGGGGCACAGTATTGGAAACCCAACAAGAAACTGTCCCGATATGGTGGAAGCACAAGAAGAATAGCAGGAGACCAATGTGGCTGCACAAGGAGCTTCCAAAATGCCTCAAATGCAAAAGGAAAGTGCAAAGATAATGGAGGAATGGGTAGGTCATGAAGGACACCTACAAGGAAATAGCAAGAACCTGCAGGGACAAAATCAGGATGGCAAAGATGAGAATGAGCTGCACTTGGCAACGGAGGTTAAGGACAACAAAAAAAGTTTCAGTAAGTATGCTGGCCAGAAACAAAGGACCAAAGAAGCTATGGGTCCTCTGTTAACAAGGCACAGGAACTCCCAATTGAAGATGCAAAAGTGGAGCTACTCAACAGCTACTTTGCCTCAGTCTTTACAAAAAAATTAAGCTGCCAGACACCTAACAGGGATTATCTGGGTAAGGAAAGGGGCAAGCTAAGGAAGGAGATAACAAGAGAGACTGTCAGAGAGCTTTTGTTGGGTCTGAATGAATTTAAGTCAGTAGTGTCAGATGAGTTTCGTCCCAGGGTCCTGAAGGAACCGGCAGAGGAGATCTTGGAGCCCTTGGCAATGATCTGCATGAAGTTGTGGGAGACAGGCCAGGTACCAGAAGACTAAAAAGGGCCATTGTAGTGCCCCTCTTTAAAAAAAAATGAGGAGGACGACCCAGGCAACTACAGACCTGGGTATTTAATGACGCCCATCCTAAGGGGCCCAAAAATGTCTGTTTTCAAAGGATTTTATGGGGAAGCTGTGCCTTGGTTGGATTAACTTAAATATCCTGGGCTAAGTTCTAGACCTATCTGTTCTAAGTCACAGTCAGCTGGGGAAGCAGAGACTGCTCTGGTCCTGGGCCCTGTCCAACCCAGAGGGTCAATGCTCTGAAGGCACCCTGCATATTTAGACAGTAAGTGATATTTCAGGCAGGGGATATTGTTGGTGGAATGGGGAAGGTTTTTATGTGGGCTGGTGTCACCTTGCCCTGGCCCTCTGCACCACTGTAGTGTCCTCTTCAGCTAGGTTTTAAATGTGCCCCTTGGCATGAAGGACCCTGCTTTCTCTGGGTGACGTGCCCAGACCCGTCTTGATATAGGGCCAGTTAGAGACTGTCTCCAGTGCTTGTGATGAGTGTGCAGGCTATACCGGGGGAGAGGGAAGCTAGAGTTTTGGCAGCTGGCTAAAGGAGAGGTTGGGGATTTGGGGGCATGAGAAGTCAGCTTAGGCTTTTGGCTTCTAGATGTTGAGGCTGGTAGCTCTGGGGCAGGGTGCCCCTTTACTTTCCCCTTCCCCTTGTGAGCAGGGGTGGAGATAAGTTGTTTTTTCAGGTGACCAAAGTTCCTAGTTCTTCATCCCACCTGTCTGGTTCTTCTACCGTATCTTCCACTCATAGTACCTGTTGCACCATGAAGTCAACTTCTGGATGAAGGACTGACTTAGTTGTATCCACTCTGTGCATGCAACTGGTCAGACTCAAGGTTTTGGTATCTTAGATATCTTTGATCTGACCCACAACTGTCTGTCTTGAAAATAGGAACTACTGAAATGGAAAGGGGGGCGGTGGAAATCTTGACCCTTTAATTCCTGTTTTGAATAGGCAGAATTAAGACCAGGATGGGTGACACAGAAACCCAGATTCTGGCTGCTCCTGAGTACCCGTGGAAGGTTAGCTCTGGAGTCTGGCTTTGTGATTTGAACCTGTCTTTAGTTTATTGAATACCAAATGGGGCAGGGCACCCTCCACCACTCCGCGACGTGGCCTCCACTGCCCGGATCTTGGTTCTTAGAATTTTGCTTCCTATCTGGTACAGGGAAGATCTTGAGCTATTGGTGTTTCAGCCCTGGGTACAGCATGCATGAGCTGGCTCGTCAGGGAGTCCGGACAATTATCCTCACTAGCGGGACTCTCTCCCCACTCTCCTCCTTCACAATGGAAATGCAGATGTAAGTACCTTTCTCTTGGGTGCACACTATCTTGATACCAATCTCATCATTTGTTGTAAGTGTTTGGGGTTGATAGCTGCAGCATGGCTTTTGGAATGAGTGTGAGGCGGACATTTCTGCTTTTTCCTCAGACCTTTCCCTGTTTGTCTGGAGAATCCTCATGTCATCGATAAACACCAGATCTGGGTGGGCATCATTCCAAAGGGACCAGATGGAGCTGTGCTCTCCTCTTCCTATGACAAAAGGTAATAAATTATGCCATTTAAAATGTTGTTTTGAAGTCTTGGGTCTCTGCACATGGATTTGATTTGAAGGCTGAACGCTTGCAGAACGGTTAGCATTCTCTATAGTTTGTTACTGAGACAAACTGGTTTGCATATTAAAAACCAGGGGTTACAGTCGAAGTAGAAATCTTAAAATCTAGGACTGGAAAGAACCTTCAGACATCATCTCATCCACCACCTGCTCTTTTGTAATATGTAGCCAAAACATTCTTTGCAAATTAAGGTGATTAAGTCTTGCTCTACCCACAGTGGCTACAAAGAACACACAATCATTGTCATCTTTATAACAATCTTTCAGTGACTGGAAAATTTTGTCATATTCCCCCTAAGTCTTTTCTTTCCTCGGAAAATTAATCCACTTCTTTTAAAGCTCATGTTTTTCAAATCTTTCATTACTCTTTTCAGTTGTCTGCATCCTCAGAGTGGCCCAAACTGGTCAGCTGGGGGGTTTTGAGAGCATTCCAACAGATATTTCAAAGGAACGTTGCACTTCATTGGCAGCTGGGTTTGTGCATGGGTTATTGACAGAAAGCAGAACTTTTCCGCTCTGGGGGAAAGGAAATGGAATCAGTGAAGACTGGAAAATAGGATTCTCCCCTTTTTTGTTTCTGCTTTGTAATATTATGTCCAACATCAGACTTATTCATATAATGTGAAAATAAAAAATTCACATTTTACCAAATCTGGTGGGTTATGGGTTTGTCAGCTCTTGAAAAGTCATTCACCCAACCTAGTGGTGTAACTGGGCTGGTGCCACTGAAACTCACACTAGGTTTTTCAGATATTGAGGAAGTGCCTTTGCTGTACACATGGATTTTCTGATTTTTTTTAATTCTCTTCCCCAAATCACCCAAAGGAGGTACAGTCTGATGCATTTGTTCATCCATTTTGAGTTCAGTGTTGTAGAGAAACAATTCCCCAGGCAGAGGCTACTTAAATTTGAGTTTAGCTTGGAGTAGACCTGACTTACCCCCTTTTCAATAATATTCCAAACCCCCACACAGACTACCCCGTGCAGTCTGCCCTTCCCACAAGAAGAGAGAAGGACCATGCTGTCTTTTGAGATTTTGCTGTTTCCATCAGTTTAACGTGGAAGGCATTCAGATACTGCAGGGGTGGTAAGCAGTGTAAAACACTGGGTGTATAGATGGTAACGTTTGTGTCTGTGTTGGAGGGTACCAATATAAGTTGTTGCATAACAGTGGCATCCTATGATGCTGTAGGAATACAGGTGTGGCAGAACCTCAGCAACTTCAGCCCTGCTTCATTCAGGCTCAGGGTTAGAGTGAGGACCTTGTTGCACCTTACACTGTTTAGCACTAGTCGCACCTTCAGCTTGAGCAGCACATCTGTGTGGAGTGGCTCCACCTTAATGGAGCAGGAGCTGGGTTGTGCAGATCAAGAGAAAACCCTGCCCTGGTGTGGCAGAACTTTGTGCCACGTAACAAGTGCTTTAAGCCACTTTACGGTGTTAATGTGTGGAGAATCCAGGGATTAAGAGCTCCAGGAGCTGCGCAAAATTACCATGTAGCAAGGCCCTGATTTAGCTCATTCCTACTACTACAGTCATGCACAGGTAGCAGCTGCAGCGTAGCAGTTGATGCATGCTCTGAATCAGTAGCTCCCCTTCCCCTTTCAAAATTGCTAATGCATCTGTTTGTCCCTGCCCTTAGATAAAGCACTGCAAATCCAAGAAGTTTGGAGACCACTCTTTAAGTTCGTTCTGATGTCAGATCCCATAGTGCATGTCTCTTTTTGTTGTGCCTTGCATGAGGGGAGGAAAACATGCAGTACTTGCCATCGTCGATCTGGCACCAGCATTTGTAGCCTGTGTAAACATCAAGTTACTTTTTTTCTGCTTCATGCTTTTTTCTGGGGAAGCAAAACATGCAAAACTCTCTGGGACAAAAGAGAATGAGATATGAGGAAATGGATATAGGGAGAGAATAGTTGGATTCTCCATAGGAAGTAGCACCATCAAAAGAATACCGGACCGTGCCCGCAGAGCTGCGCTGAGTCAAAGAGTGTTAGTCACATTGTCTAATTCAGCTGGCACTGGAAATACAGATACTAAATCAACTCCTCCTGTCGCATGGCACTGCCACACCTAGTTAATAACTCTTATCACAGTCTTGGCAGCTTCTTCACACTGCTGTTTGGGAGGATTTTGTTCATGATTTCATTTTTAATCATGAACCTCATTATCTGTAGGTACTCATACTTTCGTGACTGAAGGCTGACGCATTGTGACCTAGATTTTCTTCAGGGCTAAAACCTAGTTCCAGTTGTTGCTTTTCTAGTTGATCATGACAATGTGTAGGGGGCCCTAATTATTGATAGCTGTTTGGAGGGCAGTGGTCCATGGTGGTAAGTGTTGTACTAAAGCTAAGAGTTGTCAGAGCATCTTCCTCTGTTTCTGTAAAGATGGGACCAGGAATGTTAGTGAGGACACGTGCATAGGTTTTGTGGAGGGATAAATGACATGGAAAATGAGGAGTGGAAGGGACCTTAGGAAGTCATGTAGTCCACCCCCCTGCTCAAAACAGGACCAGCCCCAGGTACATCATCCCAGCCAAGGCTTTGTCTAGCTGGGTCATAAAAACCTCCAAGGATGGAGAGTCCACTGCTGCTCTGGGTAACCTATTCCAGTGCTTCACCACCCTCCTAGTGAGAGTTTTTCCTAATATACTTTAACGTACCTTGTTGCAACCTGAGCCCATTGCTCCTTGTTCTGTCATCTGCCTCCACTGAGAATGGTCTAGCTCCATCCTCTTTGCAAAGATCCTTAAGGTACTTGAAGGCTGTTATCAAATCCCCTCTCGGTCTTCTTCTCCAAACTAAATCAGCCCAGTTCCTTCGGCCTCTCTGCAGGAGACATGTCCTAGCCCCCAAACCATTTTCATTGCCCTCTGCTGGTCTCCGACTTGTCCACATCCTTTCTGTAGTGGGGGGCTCAAAACTGGACGCAGGACTCCCTATGTGGCTTCCCCAGTGCCGAATAGGAGGGAAGAATCACTTCCCTCCATCTGCTGGCAATGCTCCTACCAATGCAGCCCAGGATGCTGTTAGTCTTCTAGGCAACAAGAGCACACTGCTGGCTCATTCACGTTCTTGTCCCCTGTCACCCCCAGGTCCTTTTCTGCAGAGTTGCTGTCATCCATTGGTGGCCAGCCTGAACCGGTGCATGGGATTGTTCTGTCCTGAGCACAGGACTTTGCACTTCTCTTTACTGAACCTCATGAGATTTCTTTTGGTCCAATCCTCCATACTGCACTAGTACTGACTAAGGGGTTAGAGATGTTAACGAGAGGAGCCCCTCCTGTCTTCCCTCCCACTTAGTATTGTAAAAACAGCTCCAGGTTCCTTGAGGTAGGAAAGTACATGAAGAAAATGTGGACATCATGATGTCTAGAGGTAACGCTTGAAAATGCTGTGTTCTGGGGTGAGGACTGAAGACACAGGAAGGGAAAGTATGTGAGATTAGGAGTGCCTTACTCCAGGCAAAGAGTTTCAAAATGAGAACTAGTTAATATAAAAGAAACTGCAGTGGTGATATTGTTGTTTTAATCTCTTTGAAGGTTTTCTGAGGAATATTTATCTTCTCTGGGGAAAACTATAGGTAAGTGCGGTATACTCGGATCCTAGAAACAAGCCATGGTGCTTGTAAATAGGTGGGGAATGGGGGGCGGAAAATGACTTCTTATGGACAGGCATAAGCAGTTATGGTATCCAAAGGGGAGAACTTTGTATGTGAGCTGTTTCTAAAGCCTTCTTCCATCCTGAAATAACTAGTCTGTTATTTTAAGAGAGCATGTGATATTGAATTATGTGCACACTATATATCATTCTTTTGATATGCTGAGCACGTCTTTCACAGCATACCTACTCAGCACAGACTGAGAGAGAAAGTCATGATGTTCTGTGACTTATGTTAGACTTTAGAAGGTACCAGAGCGCTAAAACTAAACATAAGTTAGGTGTCCCTCCTTATAGGGAACAATATCATACAAACCTTAATCCTAGCCACCTCCTTCATGGGGGTATAATGCACGCTATACTCCAGCAGTGCATGGATGTCTAACACATGTTTACTAATGTTGCCGAGCCCAGAGTTAATTAAGCATTTTTGTCATGATTCATTTGAGGCATGGGGTGTCTGTGAGTATGTAGTTTCAGATCTGTTGTAGCATAAGGGACATTTGTAGAGCAGTAAAGTCTTATTAGTGAAAATGGTAACTGTGAAGTGTAAAGGTTAGCATATGCTAAAGAATGACAACAACTAGATACTACCTCACTTTTTTAAGGGTTGGGTATTCCCATGAGCAAATTTAAATGTTCTGTAATCTAGTGTTTCATTTGGAGAATCAGAGTGAGAAGAGGCATCAAATGCTAGTGAAGACAGATAAATACAGAGAGAGGTTAAGATCAGAAGGCACGCACAAATCAGATAAGTGTATGCACAAGTAGCTAGTTAGATGCATTTGCATTGAATAATTCCCTGTCAAATGCATCTAGTTACCAATTGCAAATGTAAGCACCCCTTTTTATGCACAGTTGCTTGTCCACTGACCTAGAAATCTAGCTCTGAAAACAAACTGCCAGAATATAACAACAGTTAGATAACAGAACATGATAGTCAGAATATAACAGACGGAGATGCAAGTTAGAAAAGAAGAGATTTTCAGAGATAGTAATGGAAAGTAAATTAAGCCTTACTTTATAAAGTTATATATAGCACCAAAATGGCTAGTGAAGTTTTGCGTAGCAATTATAAAAGCATCTGATCAGGTCCATCCTGCTGTTGTTATCAATTTTTATAAGATGGTTGGGGGAAAAATATATATGAAGAAAGTTTAAGAGAAATAAAATTGTGTTGCTTGGCTAAGGGGTTATTGAAAGGGGGGGGGGGGTTAAATCTATAGAATCTAGAAAACAAGCCATAGAAGAATGGGGAAGAGATGACATGAAGTATTTTCTTTCCCTTATTTCTGGCATACACATGTAATAAGTGCTGTGTTGTGTCAGGATTGTGCAGCAGAAAAATAACTCAGTGGCTGTATTTGTTCCTGGATTGCAAGTCTACCAGGTTCAAGGCTAGAGAAAAAAACTGATTTTCCCAGATGCCCATGCTTTCCCTCTATGTCAAGAAACTGAAGAGGAGACAGAGGGCAGACCATGACATCCCTTAAAAACAGGCTACTGTATTTACTTGAATAGAAGATGACCCTAATTATAAGATGACTCCCCCTAGTAATTAGATTCCATATATGGAAAATTTATAAATTTGTTATAATTTTCCAGGCATAGAGAATCTAGTCACTGGAGATTTGCCTTGAATTTGTGCCCTTCCCACTGCTACAGCGGGGAAAATAAATCTGAGGGGTCAGATAGCCCTTTGCCCTCTGCTTCCCCCCCAGATTTTCCCTTGACAGCCTCTTCTCCTTCGGTTTTTTTCCCTCTGGTCTTACCTTGCTCTCCCTGAGCACATGGAAAGGAAAAGGAAATTTGAAAACAGTAAGCTTGAAATTAAATATGACTATAGTAATTTGCATGTAGCAGCCATACACATGATTCATCCAGAATTGATGCATGGTAACTTTTTTGAAACTGCTGCAAGTTTTAGCATAGGTATTCTTCTATGAACACACTTTTGAGCAGCACTTTGGCAGCTACTTGTATGTAGTACAAAATGTGCAATGTTAGTCCAAAACCAAAAGACTGATGATTTACCACATAGTTTGTTGGTCTGGGCTCCACCAGAGTCAACAGCATTTCAAGCTATAGTGACCCTACGGTTCAGCAGTGCTCAGTATGTGTGTGTACTCCAGATATCCCCTCCTCCCTCCAAAGGATCCATGTGCTAATTAGCCCCGACACATGATTGGAAGTGGGTGTTCTGGTCATGAGTCCTGGGATGCTCCAAAAATGTGTACTGGGCAACCTGGACTGGTGTCACCTCATATGCCCCAGGCTGAGAGGGGGCGACAGAGGGATTCTGGGTGAACTGTATGCAATGTCGTGGCTCACAATGACTTGAAAGAGTTGGTGGTGAGGGGAGACTGCACTTAATGAGCACTACCACGTGTCTTAGTCAGAGGGGTACCCTAGCCTATTCTTGTGATAGGTTCCCATCGGCATGTTTGCCCAGTGTGGGCCATGTCTTTTATAGTCCTGCTCAGTGCTGACTGCATTTAATCAACTTCATAGTTGGTTTTGCATTGTTTGAGCACATGTTGCTTTTGGCAGTAGTTTAATGATAGTGAGATTTGTATTGTATTCAAGTAAATATGGGTATTCCCTACCCACTATCTGGAAAGAAAAGCACTGTGAATGGTGGGATGCGTTTCTCTTTCTTGTTGCAGGTAATCTTGTCCGAGTTATACCAGATGGGCTCCTGGTTTTCTTCCCTTCATATCCTGTCATGGATAAAAGCCTGGTACATTGGAGAGTATGTTAGTTGTTTTCTTTTTGTGCCTGAAATCTTAGTTACAGATTTTGAACCAGATTATCACACTGGGGTGTTTTCATGAGGATACTCGAGACTTCATTCTAGCTCTGACTTGCCTGCATATCTGTTTGAAATACTTCAGGATTGTTTATTATTTACTGTCTACATTTCGGTATAGGTTTTATGCAACCTTGTACAGAACATGAGACATATTGCAAAAACCCCCCTCAGATTCCACCCAGAACTGGACAGTGAGGAACCTGGGGAACAGGAAGAGCAAGGGCTGCGAGATGTTTGGTTTCTTAGGCAAAGAGCTTTCTGCACATTGTTGTTACAGCCCGGCTTGTGGAAGCATCTGATTCAGACATCTGTAATGTTGCTATTTGGGCTGAAGTTTTTCATGCCAGACATCTGCCTCAGGCAGCATTTCTTTTTTTGTGAAAACTTTCAACTTAAGCAAGCCAGTTGTTTCTGAGAGTAAGGGGAGAGGAAATTACATTTTTTTTGCCTGTATTAAAAACAAAACAACTTTGTTTTTGTTTTGTTTTTTAAAAAAAGGTCCTAGCAAATGTATCTTTAAAAGAATCGGAAGCTCCAGGATTGCTTTCAGGGGCTTGGAGTTTGGCAAGGGTGGGTGTCCTTCTGTCAGGAATACCCCTTTTGCCAGGCCCATGGAAAGTTTGAAAACTTTCAGTAGAGACTTAGTTTTTAGCAGCTAAGTTTCCCACAGATACTCTGCATGCTGGTTTTAATTAAACCTTGGGGTGAGCAGCATGTTCCCAGCAATATCAGTTCTGGTTTACTGTAGGTCATGCTGGACAGTGGGAGTTGAGTCATGAGAAGGTACTCCCAATGATCCTTTTGTGCTCAGAGAACATACAGAAGGAAGATGCTTTCATTCTTATGCAGAGAAGATAAAACTTGTATCTAGGGTGGGGAAGGGAGGAGAATTGGGACTGGAGCTCATGGTATAGGAGGGGAAAACTTGGGAACTGGGGAGAAAAATTGGGGTTGGGCTAGGAACCAGAAGGTAGGGGCTAGGATTGATCAGATGAGGAGCCAGCTCCTGGGCAAGGACAGGGACCGGCTGAACAAAGAAATTGGGGCAGGAAACTGTGAGGACAGGATACATTTGGGATGACCATACAAGGGAGATTAAGATTAGGAGCCTGTGGGGAATTCAGAGGTGAGACTAGGACTTGCTAAACAAGACTGGGACTGAATGAGAAGCTTGGTCATGAATGACCACACGTTTGGGACTGAATGAGAAGCTTGGTCATAAAGATTTGGACTGGATGTCTGAGTAGATTGAGACTGGGACAAGGAGCCAGAGAGAGGAGAAGGAGAACAGGACTCAAACTAATTGAAGGGGTGGGATGCATGGGTCAAGCTTCTTGTATATGAACTGCATGTCCCAGCAGAAGTTGCATTAGGATGCTCCTCTAGGTAATGTTGTAATGTGCTGTGCTGGTGGGGAGCTGGAAACCGATTTGTAGCGCAGATTGTGGGGAGGGGGGGACACCCGGGAAGCCTCTCTGATGGTAGAGAGGGACAGTTCTGCAAACTGAGCCAGAGAGGTGGGCCTCGCATCAAGACGTGGCAGATGGCCAGCTGCGTGGAGAGCCACTGTCGCAAGGGTCTAGACTGGGGCTGGTGCCAAGAGAGCAATAGGTGTGCATAACATGCAGCTGCTACTCTCCCCACCTCCCCCATACCCATGTCTCATTTACCTGTTTAACAGGAACATGACTTTGCCAGAAGAATTGAAGAGGTAAAACCGATGTTTGTGGAACCGAGGAACAAAGGCACCTTCACGGAGGTCAGTTTGTATCCGTCATAGTGGGTCTGCTGCAGTGATTTCAGACCAGCTTGCTTCTTTGGAAGTTCTCCCTGTCACCTTTCTGCTGCTCGTTACCCTGTTTCCTTTGTTCTGTTGAATCTCATCAGGTTTTGACACCTAGACAATAGGGTTAGGGAGGGGAGGAAATGTTAGTCCGTCTCTTGAATGTCTTCCAGGCCGTTTCCCTCCAACTGTTCATTTTGCAGACATTTGACTTGATTGTGAAATACGTACACGCACACACACAAGTGTGTGTGTGTGTGTGTGTGTGTGTGTGTGTGTGTGTGTGTGT